GGGGGGGGGGGGGGGGGGGGGACTTGGGATAGACGGTGGTGTGGGATATAAAAATATTATTTAAAAAACTTTAAAAAAAATTGGGGGTGAGGAGTGGTGTGGATGGTGGAGTTGAGGTACTAGGCAGGGGATGGGGTAGGGTAAGAAAACAATTTTTTTTTTAGCAAAAGCTCTTCTTCTCTTTTTTAATTGCTAAATTTTAGAATTTAATTATTTCAATATTTTATTTTATTTTATTTATTTATATATCTATGCGTACATATACCCATGACTCATGAGTGGATAACTTATGACAAAAGAAATATATTTTTAAATTACTTAATCGAGTAAAAAAATATTTTCAATACTATAAATAATTAATCGTTGATATCAAATTTAGAGGTGTTTTCGACAGAAGAAAAATATGATTGACGGTAGGAAAATGGGTTAGAGTAGCTATATAAAATGTGGCCGCTTCTTCTTATATAGAGAAAAAAAAAACATGCGGATTGTAATTGGCTGAACAGTCGCCAGTAATGTTATTTGTCCAATCCTAAGAGGGGGGAAACTGACCCGGATCCGAATCATCTATAGCACCATATCTCCAAAATTTATCTCTCTCTGTCAATCGCCGGTCGCCGACGAATAAGGTTCCTTCTTTCTCTGAATCTCTGTTTATTCCTATTTTGTAAAAATGGCGATCTATACATCCCAACAGTTGACTCTACTGCTTCACTGCTTCATCTTTCAAAGATATGCAGATTTTTATACTGAATTTTCTCTGTTTTACACCTCAATTGCTATTATATATCTGTTTATACTTCAATTTTGTGGCTATTTCTGTTTTTGTCAATAAAATAGTGAGATTTTTTCATACTTTAATTGGTTTCTGTTCAACAAATCTGTATACAATTTTTCAATTATATGTAGATTTTTAGAGGTACAGAACAGTGTTAAAGCTACTTATTAAACAAAAAAAAGAGAAAAAAAAATTAAAACTTGTTTACAACAGATTTAGTGATGTGAAACTTTACCGAAATTTCCTGATTTATACTGTTTCACACCTCAGTTGCTATTAGTTATATGATAGTTTTGTGTTTTTTTTCTGTTTTTTTTTTGTCTAATTTATGAATGAAATAGTGAATTTTCAGAGCTAATCACTTTATTGGTTTCTGTTCATCAAATCTGCAGAGTATCATATGAATTTTCTTTTAGTGGGACTTCTCATTGGTTTACATTTTATTATTAAGATTCTTCATATGTGAGTTTGGCAATAAAATGTCTTGGATTGGCTTTTGTTGCTTTGTGATGAGTAAATGGCGTATCTTTCAGCTTGATTTTTCTTCTCTTATTTTGTTTTTACTTTTTAGTTAGTAAAGCTTTTAAATGTTGACTACTGGTGATGTTTTGTTTGTGGAATCTGAATTTCTTGAGTGAATAATATTTTGAAATTGGTTTTCTTTGAGTTTGTTAAGTTGCAAAACTATTGATTGGACTTCAAGTTTTTAAAATAATGGTTTTAAAGTTGTTCTGAATGAAGTTATTCAAATCTTCAACTTCCATTCATAAAAGAAGAAAAAGAACTTTCAGTTCACAGATGTAACTCCCACAAAAAATTTCTTAAAAAACTATGGGCCTGATGAGCCATCGATATTCGATAGTACAGTAACTGTACTTACCAAACTTCAATATTTGCAAAACTGTAGGCTCATTTACTATTTTGGCCATGAAATCTTGGGTTGTTAGTGAAATATTATTTGTACTCCAAGTGGAATGTTGAAATAGTTGTTGAGGGTGTATTCCAAGTTAATTCTGGTTTTCACTCACAAAATTTTAACTCTTACCATTTCATTCAAGTGAAGTCGTGTTCAAACTTTAACTTCAAATCTCTTTTTTTTCCAACTTAAACTTAAATATTGCCCAAACCCCTATATAACAATCCAAACACAATTTCAACTTCCAAAAACTGATTTCCGCTACAACTTTGAATAATTTTTTCCATCTTCAGCTGTAATCGTTGTCCAGCGAGAGATATGATCATTTTGATGTTGCTGACCTTTTACTCTTATTTCTTTGCACCAGTCTGAGTCAGCCTATTATTCCCATTTTGTGTGTTATTAATGTTTTGGTCGGTCCAATTAAAGGTGGTAATCAAGAAAGTTTTTCAAAAATGGCAGATAGATGCATCGAGTCGATATTGATCATGAGCGAGACGCCATGGAGCAACCACCTTCCCCTGCTGCAGAACAAACCCAACTTGAGAGGAGAAAAGGGACATTGGCTTCCAAGGTGGGAAAACTTTTCCTTTCACTTTCACTAGGCTTACATATTTAATGTCTTTTGATAGTTTATGTGTACAAGTATGTGTCTGCATCTTATGAAATTCAAAAAACTGTTACTAGCTTATACATGTGAAAAATGCATTGAGACCTGCTGTTAAAGGAAGTAAATAATATTCTAAGCTGCAGGTAAATTCTTTTGAACTAATTTGTTGTTTAAGGGCTAATAAAAAATGTAACTGCTTGACATGGAGGCTTCTAAGATATTTGGATTAAAAAGAGGCTAGTATGACTGAAATGCAATTTATGTCATGCTTGCTTCCATGGACATTAAGGTGTCACTTTGACTAATTTCTTGTAATAAAGAAATGATTAGATTAATGTTCGTAGGTTGCATTTAGATTCTATACTATGCTAAAGACCTGTGTTGGATTCTCCAAAAGTAGTTCATTTTTAAATAATCCGACATAGGTGCGGCACGATTTTGTCGAGTCAGAGCAACATAGCTAAAGACACTGACGTGTATTTTCATGTGGATGGAAACTAAAATAAATAGCACCTAAATCTGAACATTGAAGAGTCGAAACATGCTAAGTTTCAATCTTTATTGGGTGGAATATAATCTTTAGATGTTTACCTTGTCCTTCTGATTGTCCTGCATATTTTCAGCTTGTATTTTGGCTTGAACTTCTCTTGGACCTAAAGTGCTTTAGTATAATTGGAACTTGCAGTACTGACATATCTCTGTTTTGATAGTTAGATAAGGAAGAAGAAAGGAAGAAGTATTCTCTTTCACACTGCATATAATCTTTTAATTGAACATAATCAAGTTTGAAACAACTTTTACTGAAAGATTCACAGTTTGCTCAATGCTATGAAATATTTACCACATGGTCTTTTCTGCCTTTAGTTTCTTCTCTTCCTTCTCACCAAATTGTCCACAAGTAGTACATATCCTATCAATTTATCATGCATCAACTGAAGAACCCTTGGCCTCTATAGGAAAAATTGATGTTTTCACAGCAAAAGGCAGCTCCTCTAACTGGCATATTAGATTTTACGCCCTTCCTCCTTCTCTCTCTCTCTCCCAGTTTCCGTACATTCATTTTTTTATTTTTTTTATTTTTATGACAAGGGATACCCACAGCCACTACCCTTTGAGTGCGCACAGGGTAAAAACCCCGCTCCTATGCAATAGCTCGCAAACCACATAGGAGAGGTAACTTGCACTAGGCAAGCCCGGTGCGATGAGCTCGACCCAGAAGGCAAACCCCTTGCTCTCGCTGGCAAGGGGTTTCGAACTTGAGACCTCCAAGATGGAAGTCCCAAGCCCAAACCACTGGGCCACCCCGAAGGGTAGTTTCCATACATTCATACCACAGCATATTCCATTTTTGGTTTTCCACCAGTCTGTCCCTTCTTCTGTCATCATGTGTCTCTATCCAAAAAAGAAATTTGCTGCTAGCCTCAGTACTGTTTGTCCTCTGCACAAAAAGCTTCGAACATATGACAAACCACAAGCAAGCAACACGAGTCAGCAAGCTCAACTTGCACCATTGCCTTCACCAAATACTATCAGAGTATCAGTTGGCATTGATCTTTATAAGTGCCTTAGTCACAAAAATGAAGCTACACTAGTGGGACCATCATTTATTCTTTTTGCTCTTAGGTGTCCCTTAGAATGATAATTTAAACAACCTACGTTGAGAAAAATTGGAACCGACACACTTAGTGGAAAATAAAGGCGAGAAAGGAAACCTTAAAATTGAGAATCTTTTAGAAAAATTAGAAGCTGAAGATCTTTCCCTCAATTGAACACTGCCTTGTATTCCTTCTACAGAATTTTCAGGCCATGAGATTTCCTTTAGATCAACTAGTAAAATATACCATATTCTTAAAGACGTTTCTAGTGTTTGCATACATTATACCTCCATGGAACATATATATTCTGGACTTAGATTCTTTTTGAGGGAAGTGAGTCTGTTGGGAATGAGTTCCATTGGATCTGTGCTTTTTTCTACCAGCTGATTGTGTAGGAGACAAGCTCATGCCTTGGATATTTTGACTTGCAGTTTATGCTGGTGAATATTTCCAGTAATCTACTCCTGGCTTACCAAAGTCTGGGGGTGGTATATGGAGATCTGAGCACTTCTCCGCTTTACGTCTATAGGAGTATCTTTGTGGGAAAGTTGCAAAATTATCAGACTTCAGAAGCAATATTTGGTGCATTTTCTCTAATCTTCTGGACAATAACGCTCATTCCTTTGCTCAAATATGTATTTGTTGTATTAAGTGCAGATGACAATGGTGAAGGTATGTTTATAAAGGACTCTAAATTGATAAATACTTATGGAACAATACTAATACCTGATGATGTTTGGCCAAATATCTTAGGTGGTACATTTGCTCTTTACTCTCTGTTGTGTAGACATGCAAAGTTTAGTCTACTTCCCAACCAACAGGCAGCAGATGAGGAGCTATCTGCTTACAAATATGGCTCTTCTGGGCAGTCGACATCATGTTTACCATTGAAGAGATTTCTTGAGAAGCATAAGAAGTCACGTACAATACTGCTTATTGTTGTATTATTAGGTGCTTGTATGGTCATAGGAGATGGTGTTCTGACTCCTGCAATGTCAGGTACACGATACTAACAGTAGATGCCTCCTTATATGGTATTTTTAGCCGGTTGCCTTTTGAATTTACAAACCAGAAGTTTGTTCTAAAGTTGCTTCTGTCAAATGTTAGATAATAGACTTTCAACTTTTGTGATATAATAAGTGGCACCTTATAATGCATATGATTGCCATCAGATATTCTATAAAAAATAGTTATCTCACAAAGTGATGCTTGCAGTCATGGAACTCGCAGTTGAATTTACTTTTATCTTTTAACTATGAAATGCTCTACTTTGGCAGTTATATCATCAATGTCAGGGATCCAGGCTGCTACTGAACACCTATCTCATGGTAGATATACTTTGATACACCCCTTTGCAGAAATTGATAAGACTTTTTAAAGTAGTCAACGTCTTACTTAAGTCTGAGGCATTGACCATTCATGCATCTTTCCTTGTAGGTGGTGTGCTTATTCTCTCGTGCATAGTATTGGTTGGCCTGTTTGCCTTGCAGCATTCTGGAACCCACAGGGTTGGATTCTTGTTTGCTCCTATAGTGACTATCTGGTTGATATCTATTTTTCTCATTGGGCTGTATAATACTATATTTTGGAATCCCAAAATTGTGTCTGCTCTTTCTCCATATTATATCGTCAAGTTCTTTAAGGAAACTGGGAAAGATGGTTGGGTTTCCCTAGGAGGTGTCCTCCTCTCAATTGCAGGTACGATACATATATTGACTCTAATTCAGTAGTTCTTTATTCAAATTTGCCTCATAGAAGCCTTTTTGTGGAACCTCTTACTATTTGATGAAGGAGATGATATTAAAATCTCCTAGAGTTAGAATCAGGTTTATAATTCATATTTCTACCATCAGGTTCTGAAGCTATGTTTGCAGATCTTGGTCATTTCACTGCCACCTCAATGAGGGTAAGTCCAGCATTTTGCAGTAACAAACACATAAAAAATCTCTTCAGGGAGACTGTTCTGTTCTAATTCTCTATTAGCCTAGCAATTTTTTTTTTCTTTGTAGAAGATCCTGAATGCAGATTTAACTAGTTGGATTATGCAGCAATAGATAAGAACATGTTTTAACTGCATCTGTACAGCGGGTTATAAGTCATCATGACATTGGGAATATGAGCTTCCATAATCCGTTTGGTATAAATAAAAAGGGTTTTACAGCTATCGAGACTCTGATTTTATTGTATTTCATTTTTTTAAGCATATAGGAACTTAAACAACATTACTAAGAAGATTCGAAATCCATCTGAAGTAGATTTAAAGAATATTGAGTCTATAAGATTTGGATTATAACATTTGGAATCCATAGTGAGTGGATACATACAGAGCAACTGGACATTGGAGCCAGATGATTCTTATTCCACAGAATATGTAAACTGTCCTAGTGGTTGGCAGATTATAGTGCATATTTCTTTCAATATTTATTGAGTGCTTGGATTCAAGGAACTCACGTTGACTGAAATTTATTTTCCTTATGCAGATTGCATTTCCATTTTTTGTATACCCTTGCTTGGTGGTACAGTACATGGGTCAGGCTGCTTTTCTGTCCAAAAACATTGATTCAATTCCAAATAGTTTCTATAATTCAATACCCGGTTGGTTCTCTTTTCATTTATTTGTCTGATTATTCTTAAGATTGTTGATAAATTTTAATTCAATCCTACTAAACTGCTGCTCTTTGCTTCTCTTGCAGACAGTGTATATTGGCCTGTCTTTGTTATTGCTACCCTTTCAGCCATTGTTGGCAGTCAGGCTGTAATCACTGCTACATTCTCCATTGTGAAGCAATGTAATGCACTGGGTTGCTTCCCACGAGTCAAGATTGTCCACACGTCAAAGCATATTAAAGGGCAGATCTATGTCCCAGAAATAAATTGGATCCTAATGATTTTAACCCTTGCTGTGGCTGTTGGGTTTCAGGACACCACTTTAATAGGAAATGCATATGGTAAGCCTGCTAGTCTTTTGACAATCTATATTTTAGTTCTTTGAATTCCATTGTATTGACTCTGCCTTCTCACATTCCATTCCCATAGAATGTAGAGTAAACCCCATTATATGATCCCCACAACTATCCCAATGGTATCACCTTCAAAAGTAATTGAATTTTTCTTATGCATCTGTCACATCTATAGTATTATAATTATTAGTATGCAGATGTAGAAATGGGCTGACAAATCCATCATTAAGCTGTCCATTGTGCCTGAGCTAAAATGTTCACGAGTAATCCTATTTGCCAAATATTTCTGTTTTCAAGATTGTGTATTTGTTTCCTCAAACATGCTACTAGGCCTCTCTTTGTGCCTTTTGCAGTGTATTAAGTCTTTATTTTAAACCCCGATGAAAACTAAAACATATGAAATCGAGATGATGAATTGTGTGCACATGAAGGAATCTCAGATTTCATGATATATTAACAAAAGAGAGCATACCAACCACCTATGTTGCTTGGAGCCTTGGACTATTTAAAAACGCCGACAAATGTGTGTCGGATCCTCCTAAAGAAGCTTATTTTCGGAGACTCCGACATGGGTGCAACACCTTTTTGGGGAGTCCGAGCAAACATTCAACCACCTCCAACCATACAAGGTTTTGGGGGTTCAAGTTACAAAGGGAATACAATGGCAAAGCAACTGTTGGGCTCCTAATTTTAGGTTTGGGGGTGGGTGGGTGGATGGGTGGGGAGGTTAGGTGGTTGAGAAGGATTACTATATCCCCCCAAAAAAGGACACCTTGTGGAAGTACACCATGACACTGATTTTCTTTCTGTATTACTGCAGATTTTGCGAACAATTGGCGTTGCTGTTTATTTCAAGCTTTCTTTTCATTTCTAGTTTCAGAATTCTCTGTTTTGTTCTCTCTTATGAATTTATTTTTCTTTCAGGTCTAGCTTGCATGACAGTTATGTTTATCACCACATTTCTCATGGCGCTTGTCATAATCTTTGTCTGGCAAAAAAGTGTAGCACTTGCAATTCCCTTTCTCCTTTTATTCGGGCTCATTGAAGGTGTCTACCTGTCTTCTGCATTCATTAAGATTCCACAAGGAGGATGGGTCTCCCTTGTGCTCTCTTTTGCTTTCTTGACTATCATGTTTGTCTGGCACTATGGAACTCGCAAGAAGTACAACTTTGATCTTCACAATAAAGTTCCATTGAAATGGCTCCTTGGCTTGGGCCCCAGCCTTGGTATCGTTCGTGTGCCAGGGATAGGGCTGATATACTCCGAATTGGCAACAGGAATTCCATCCATCTTCTCTCACTTTGTTACAAATCTCCCTGCATTTCACAATGTGATGGTGTTTGTATGTGTCAAATCTGTTCCAGTACCATTTGTCCCACCCGAGGAGCGCTTCCTCATTGGTCGCATTTGCCCAAGACCCTATCGCATGTACCGTTGCATTGTCAGATATGGTTACAAGGACATACAGCGAGACGATGGAAACTTTGAGGACCTTCTCATCCAGAGTATAGCAGAGTTCATCCAAATGGAAGCTGTAGAACCACAACTCTCAAGCTCCGAGAGTCCATCATTTGATGGAAGGATGGCAGTTATAAGCACAAGAAGTGTACAGTCAGGCTCAACATTACTCGTCTCAGAGGAAGATTTCGGTATTAGTAACTCCATTCAAAGCAGCAAATCTTTAACCCTCCAAAGTCTAAGATCTGCTGGTGATGATGAGAACCCACAAATGAGGAGGCGCCGAGTAAGGTTTCGCTTGCCAGAAAACCCTGGCATGGATCCAGCTGTTAGGGATGAGCTTTCAGATCTAATCGATGCAAAAGAGGCAGGGGTTGCATATATAATGGGACACTCTTACGTGAAGGCGAGGAGATCGGCTTCTTTCATGAAGAAGCTTGTGATTGACATTGGTTATTCATTTCTGCGCAAGAACTGTAGGGGTCCTGCTGTGGCACTTAATATTCCTCACATTAGTCTCATTGAAGTTGGCATGATATACTATGTCTAGACTATAGAGGGAGGGTGGTTGGCCATGGATGAGTTTTTATTTATTTATCACCCCTCTACATTTGTTTTGTGCGGTAGCCTTATGGCTAATAATGTGATAACATATGTTGGGAAGGCTATTTAAGTGTTTCCCATTCAACACATTTGGTAGTTGTATGTATATAGCATGACTAGTTTCTCGATACGTGCAAAATTATGTAGTAAATGTAATGTGTAAAGTATCATAGAAAGATTTGAACAAATAATTTTTACATGTCTAATTAGATAATGTCAATTAAGATAAGCATGAAAACTAGAGAAGAAAATGTACTTATTTCATGAGTTGATAGGGACACTTAAATAAAGTAGAAAGTGAGTAGGGTTTTAATCTACTTACTACCTTCATGCAGTAGTATTATGTTGTCAGAAATATGACCATAAAATTGGAATTATAATCAGAAAAATCAAATAATTTCATATAAATCATAATGAATATAGTAACTCCAAGTGGGTAATGCTTGAAAACGGGGTTTTGAGGCTATGTATATCTCACATACTAATAAGAAATCCAAAACTACCTAATTAATTTCCTTATAATAAAGTTAAGAAGTTGCTCATAAGTGTGTTTGGTAAGAAGAAAAATATTTATTTTTTCAATTTTCTTATGTTTGGTTGGTTAAATTTTTTCTAGGTTCTATCTTAACAAATCAGTTTTCAGATTTGCTTCAGGTTGCCTATAGTTTTTTATTTTCAGATTTGTTTCCAGGGTTATATGTAGAGTTAGAGTTAATTTTCAGATCTAGTTTTTCGATATATCTTTCTTATCTAATTGTTGATCTCTTGTGAATAGTATACTTTTGCATATCTCTATTTCTTGTTCGTTTTGTTCTCAGTTTAACTCTGCCCTATGTTTCTTGATCCATAGAGTCATATATTGCATAGTTCTTGTGGTTTCTCTTGTGTTAGTATACTGGGTGTACACATATTTTAAAGTTGGTTGCTTCTCTACATCCATTTCATTATTTCTTCCTTTTATTTGATTTTTAGTATTGTTAATTGGTCCTAAATTCTCTGCTTGATTTAGTGGTTTAAGTAGATTCCTATTTGGCTTATATCTTGTTTAGTTTAGATTTTCCTAGTGGCTTTGGTGAATGATGGTGGACTAGGGTCATGTCTTTGGTAGGGCTAGGGGAAGTAGTGATAATGGGTTATAGATTCTCCTAAGTTGACAGTAGGGCCGTGAAATATAGGGTCACTGACAAGGAAGTTCATAGACCATAGAACTAGTGAATATTCTAATGAAAGAGGAAGATAAATATAGCGTGTGTACAGAAAACCAGATGGGTAGGTACAAGGCATGAGATGCGAATGGGTTAAAGTTGTGGTACTCAAGATGGTCGAGGCATAGAAATGGAGTAGGTATTTTTAGTAGATGGGGACCTTATAGAGTGAGTGGTGGAGGTTAGGAGGATCAATGATAGGATGATGACGATTAATCTAGTCATTGGCGGGATTAATTTGAATGTTATTAGTGCTTATGCGCGCCTCAATTAAGCTTGGATGAGGAGGTTAAAAAGCTCTTTTGAGAGGATTTGGACAAAGTAGTGAGAGGTATACCGAACACCGAGAAGATTTTCATTGGTGGCGTTTTTAATGGTCATATAAGGGTAACTTCTAGTGGGTTTGTTGATGTTCATGGAGGCTTTGATTTTGGGGAGAGAAATGGAGAGGGATCATCGCTTCTAGATTTTGCTAAAGCCTTTGAGTTGGTAATTACTAACTCGTGCTTTCCGAAAAGGGAGAACCACTTGGTTACCTTTCGCAGCACGGTAGTTAAGACTCTGAAAGATTACTTACTCCTTATAAAGGGTGATATAGGCCTTTGTAAGAATCACAAGGTTATTTTGAGTGACAATCTTACTACCCAACACAAACTTTTGGTGATGAACTTAGACATTAAGAGGGATAACAGGAAGAATACCTTATATGTTCGATCGAGAATTGGATCGGGTGGATTGACCCATGCCCTATCTCAAGAGATGGGGAGAAGTTGATTGATATGGGGGCATGGAGTAGTAGTAGGGATGTGACCAATAAGTGGGTTGAGAGTTCTTGTTGCATTAGGGAAGCAACTATATAGGTACTAGGGGTATCAAAAGGTAACTTTTGTGGTCATCAAGGATACTAGTGGTTGAATGGAGAAGTCCAAGGCAAAGTGAAAGAAAAGAATGTTGCATATACAAAGTTGGTGGAGTGTGTGGACGAGGAAGACAATCAGTTTCTTAAAGAAGTCTAAAGGACGACGAAGACATAATCTAAGTTAACGGTTACAACTACTAAGATGATGACTTTCGAATGCTTATATGTCGAGCTAAGGGAAAAAGGTGGGGATATGAAATTGATAGACTCACAACTTGGATCAAGTGAAGGGCATCAAGGATAGGGAGTCAAGGTGTTGGTGGAAGAGACCTCCATTAAGAAAAGATGACAAGTATAGTTCCGCAAACTCTTGAAGGAAGAAGGGAACAAAGCCATTATGTTGGGTGAATTGGTGTAGTTTAAAAGACTTCAGGACTTTAGGTACTGTAGGTGTTTTAAGGTTGAAGAGTTTAAACATGATATTAGTAAGATGAGTAAGGCAAGAGAGACCGAAGCTGATGAGATTTCACTGGAATTTCGGAAGAGCATCGACAAGGCAGGTATGAAGTGGTTAACTAGGTTGTTTAATGCTTTTTTTAGGACAACAAAAATGCCCAACGAATGGAGGTGGAGTACAACAGTTTCATTGTAGAAGAACAAGATGATATCCAAAACTGTAGCAATTTTAGGGGTATGAAATTGCTAGGCCACACTATGAGAGTTTGGGAGAGAGTGGTGGAGATGAAGATGAGGAGCGAATTTGCATTTTATGAGAATCAATTTGGATTCATTTCGGAGCGATAAACTACAGAAGCCCATCCATCTTGTGTAGAGACTGGTGGAGAAATATAGGGAAAGGAAAAGGGACATGTATATGGTGTTCATTGACATTGAAAAGACTTATGAAAGAGTCTCGAGGGATGTCCTCTAGAGGTCTTTCGAGGCTAAAGATGTCCAAATGGTTTATATTAGGGAGATAAAAAACATGTGTGATGGAGCTAAGACTCATATTATAAAGGTGGGAGGAGAATAAGAGCCCTTCCCAGTGAGATGGGTATACATTAGAGATCAGTTCTTAGCCGTTTCCTATTTGCCTTGTTGATGGAATATTTGACACGGTCTTTCCAGAAAGAGGTTCCACAGTGTATGTTATATGTGGATGACATTGTACTGATTGATGAGACATGGGACATATTTAATCCTAGGTTGAAGGTTTGGAGACAAACTCTGGAGTCCAAATGGTTCAAGTTGAGCATTACCAAAACATAATATTTGGAGTAAAAATTTATAGTGTTGCAATGGATGAAGTCGATGTAAAATATTTAGGATCCGTAATACAGGGTAGTGGAAACATTGATGATGTTGTCACACATTGCATTGGGGTGTCATGAGTAAAATGGAGGCTTGCTTGTGGAATATTGTGTGATAAGAATGTACCGCCTAAACTTAAAGGTAAGTTCTACAGAGTAGTGATTAGACCATCTGTAACATCCGACAAATTGAAATAGTTTTGAAGAGAATTAGAATTGGAAATTTTCACTTTTGGAAAGAATTTAAAAATCTGGAAAATTTTGGCTAAGTATGGAAAATGTAAATTTTTGGCCAACTTTGGATAGCTATAAATTCTAGCTCAGGATGAGTTAGGTGGAGTTCCAGTTATGGTTGCAAAGTTCGTGGAACGATCTTTCCAACGCCACTGAGTTCTTATGAGTGAGATATGCCCTTTGAAAGTTGGGCAGTTGACAAGGAAATCTGTCCGGGAATTATTAAGGGCATTTTGGTCTTTTCCCTAGCTATTTCTTTTGAGGATATATTGTTGTGTTAGGCTGATATTTGGATCATTTTTATCCATTTTAAGAGAGTGAAGGCTAGGGCTTGATAGTGAAGAAGAGAAGAAGAAGAAGAGAAGAAGAAGAGAAGAAGAAGAGG